CGAGGAAGCTAATGACATGATATACATTTTTAGAAAGGTACAGACCTCTTCTTTGCAGCAATATGTCATTATTGGTAATCTAGTGATTATTACATCCACAACAACCGTTCAAAGTTAAAAAAATTGTAATTTTTTGAGCTTTTTTGGAAATGACGCATAATGTAAATACAAGCAATTCGAGGTTTTTAACATTTTCACACTTCAGGTCGAAAATATGATTTTTCTGTCAAACTTCACATTTTGGTCTTTTTCCTTAGAGCAAAAACGTCATTTTAAAATACGAAAGAACACAAAAGGAACAACTGTCCAACAAAATTGCGAAACGAAATCCGATGACGTTTGTCAACTACCTAGCGGGGCAGGAAAATATAGCGGAAGTTCAATGTCGCTCAAGCAGTAACGCATTTTACCGACTGGAGATATTTCTGTTCCCCCCATACAACGTTTAGCTTGATTCAGCATATAAATTAACACAAAATATACTTTTTTTGTATTTTTTACCATTTTCGTAACATTCCGTGGATATGGATTCAACCCCAGCCCTGCTTCATAATTTATTTCTGTGTAGGTGTTAAAAAGGGAAATTTGAATGTCAGAAGCTGAATATGCATAATTTTACAAAATACGTTATAACTACAACATTTTTCGTCCGATTTAGACAATCTTTACCTTGACTTGTTTGTTATAAAATTATTTTGAATATATTTCATGTATTGGAAAAAAATTTTTTTAATCAATAATAAAACGTCGATAAATTTCAATAATTTCCATAAAATCTCAAAAAATTACCTTTTTTTTAACTTTGAACGGCTGATGTGGAAGTAATAATCACTAGATTACTAATAACGACATATTGCTGTCTGTATCTTTCTAAAAAATGTATATCATTGCTTCTAAACATCAACTTCCTCGGAGATTTCGGTGAAAAACTGAAATAAGACACGAAAAACACGTTTTTTGCAGAAATCGCGGAAACGCTTCATGAGAAAAATAAATGATTGTCATTTTCGTTTTCAGCGACTCCAAATTGTGCTAGAAAGCGCTTTTTTATCGAGGTACTCGTTTGAAACTGAAAATTTGTAAACTAGTGTAATCCGCAAAGACTCCATGCGGGCTCTCCAATTCGGCTAAGATTTTGTGAAAAAGACTCCATAAATCATTGAAAGACAACCTAGACCCAGTGTTTTTGCAGTACTCCGATAATAGGCCGAGAAGGACCATTTACGGGTCTTCAAAATACTCCTAATATAATTTATAAAAAGCATAACGTCAACAGCTTTTTTTTGCGGTGTCCCATTCCAGGAACATTCTAGACTAGATACAAGAAACATAAAAACGAGATACATAAAAACACTTTGACTCGATCTTCATTCCACATTCAGATCACAATGAAAACACTCGTTCAAGGTGCCGCTGTGTGAGTCCTATCCCACTCCATATTTGTAGCGCTCCGTATTTGGCTAGCTGGGTAACAGATTGTCGCCCTTTGCATATACATATATGTATGTCCACATACATAACGCGGAAATTATTCGAACACGACTCGTAGATTTTCCACAAAAGAAACAATCGACTTACATACAAACATATAGTTACATACACATGTCTACATTCTGTAACAAACCTGCAGGGAAACCGCGGACTAGTGAATCAAATTTCTAGTTCCGTACCAGATCTTTATCGCCAAAAACGAACTAGTCCAATAGTAACTGGATCCCCCCCCCACTAGTCCAAAATCAGTGAAATTATGCACTTTTAAAAAACTTTTTTATTTCACTTTTTCCATTAGAAATCTATATCTATGGTGACGAATTTAGAACTGGTTCGGAACTATAGAAAAAGGAATGCATAACGAACTAGATCTTATCTGTCGAATTTAGAACTAGTTCGGAACTATCGAAAAAGGCCTTTTTTGATTTACATAGATATGTGTTTGACGGCTTTTTCGTTCAAATACGCTTCCACCCTGCATTTTCCAGATGCTTTTTCATAGCTTAGTAATACAAAACAATAATTTGTGTTAACACTCCAACATCTTGGGACCGTCTGGAATTTAAGAAATAACAGCACGCACCTCTGCAAACTCAGCTACAGCCAAGGTATGTAAACGTACATTTCTTACAATCATTCAAACAAATTTAATTTCAAATTGAAAACACATTTCTTAGAAAATAATTTAAAATCGCACACACGGAAGAACCAAAAAGATAGAAAACTCACTACCTAGGACATCGGAATGTTAAATTCGCCAGTTGCTAGCATGCAAAAGAGATTTATCGCGAACCAGTACTGGGTCTAAATATACCAGAAGCGAACGAGTTCAGAACTAGATATTTTCCCCACTGGGAAGCTTCAATAAATATGTAGATACCTACATATTATTCATTCGTTAGAAAGCACACCATTTCAAGGCGTTGCAATGCATTAGTGGTAGAAAGGATGTGCAGCCAAATATTTAGTGGTTAGTTAGCTTATGACTTTTTTATAAAGTTCCGGATTTGGCAGCGTCAAACTTGCTTTGGCAGCCAACAAAGCAAGCAAATAACTCGCGGCAAAGCAACACCCACCAAGCTCCCTAGAAAACACACGTACGCGCACATGTTTGTTAATAGGTATGTTTGCGCGGTGAATACTAAACTACTGTATAGGTTCTGGTTTTATTTTGGGTGAACATATCCACTGGTTGGGTAAAATTAAAGGCAAAATTTGTTCAAAAATTTTACGACACTTTAGAATACACCAATTGTGTGTTATATCGACTATCTACTATTAACTATAGAATACCAAGGTAATTGTTTGGTAAATTCGTCTGGGGGGCTACTTATTAAAAAAAATAAATTAATTAAATTTAAAAAAAAAAAAGTCCAGACTTATCTCAGAAGTCTCCAAAATAAAGAAGTTTAATAACAAAATGGGTATTTCGAAAGGGAACACATTTTTTAAAAACAAACAAAAACCAGTACAAACGAATTGAAAAAAAAAATTCATATGTGCGTATGTATATATGTACATATTAGAGTTGAGCACTTTAGTTCTTTTCAGTGAACCGTTCAGTTGTAGTTGGTTCACCTTAATGCACTAGTCCTTTAGTTCATTTAGTTCAATTGACGAATACATTTACATATCGACACCTTTGTGGAAGATCGACCTATCTCGGCAGCCAGTTCGAAAATGCCCTATCTCAACATATTTGCAATACATTTTCAGTTGAGATAGGGCGTTTTTAAACCAAATTCTGAGATGTCGCGGTCTTGAAAGGTTTTCTGAGATAGGACGTTTTGGAACTGGCTGCTGAGATAGGTCGATCTTCCACTCATATTACTATCATACATATTACATACAAAACAAAACGTACATAAAACAAAAACTTTAACAAATTCATGGAACATGAACATATACACTTAGATCTTTTTTATGCGGTACATGCGTTCCTCANACTTTGAATTTACATACATAAAAAACGTACATAAATATGTTTTCGTATAAATAAAATACATATAAACGTACATAAAAGAAGAACTTCAACAAATTCATGGAACATAAACATATACACTTGGATCTTTTTTTATGCGGTACATGCGTTCCTCAGAAAGCCTTTCCAGCCTTTTCAAAAACCGCATAAATTCAGATACTCCATGTAAAAAATTCTAAAAAAGCCCCATAAAAAATCCAGTGAGGCAATATTAAGCAAAAAAAAATTACCAAATTATTTCTTCACTTCAACACTTATTATTCCATGTAAACATCCCACCAAACAATTTGTGTTGCCAGCAGTAAGAAAACGTGTCGCCCTCGGAAACAAATTTATTGCCGGTAATATTGCCATCGAATCGATTTCCTATTACCGGTCGCTCTAAAACGTCCGCCGAAGGCAACTCGCCTGGGCGAGTCGTTTTCTTATTACCTGAACGAGTCCTTTTCTTATCGCTTCAGGCGATTTTTGGAATAATTTTATTCTTTTTAATACTTCATTTATTTTTTTGTACCAAATTGCAACTTACAATCGGAATTAATTCATTTTCTCGCTCTGCGACTTCCTATTTTTTCAATCTTGTCCTTGGGCATAATTTAGATGCTTTTGGCCAATACTATTGACGCCATATTCATAAGTTTCGGAATTTTTGAGAACTTTTTTATTCAAAATTGACATGAACGAAGTGATGTTGCCGATTTGTCACCACAGCAATAAATCGGTGAGTCGCCAATTTGTTGCCATTGGCGATTGTTGCTTATTTCTCATGTTTTGCATGGTGGGCATTAATGAAATAAATAAAATTGTATGTGTATTTTAACCAAAAACAAAAAAATACCAAAATAAATATATGAATTTGTATGAATATAAAGACAAATTATTTATCAGAAGTATTGTCTCTTACTCATTGGAAAAAGTAATAAAAACTCAAAAAAGCAAAGTCGCTACAGCGAAAAAACGGTTTAAAAACCCTCATAGATTCAAATCCGCATAAAAAACCCGCATAAAAAGATACCTAAGTATATATGTATGTATGTACGATATGTTACCACTTACATATTGCTGTGCAAAATCATCAAATTGGAAAGAATTGAAAAGTCGAATTTAATTAAAGTATGCATAAGTTATATAAAATGCTAAAATATGGGCGTCAAACGAAGGAGTGGTAGGATATCCTTACTTTTAACATTTAGGATAATAATGAGGGTTGCCACCTATTTAAAAAGGTAAATACATAGTTTTAATAAGTGCAAGGAGTTATTAAAAGCTGGGTATCAAATCAAATGGGTTTAAAAAGCCTTTACCTGTGTGAAAAATCGAGTTTAGCTACTTATTAACAAAATCCCAAAGACGAAGACACTGCGAAGACGAGCACGAACCGGAAGCTAATATAAAAAATATAAATCTTTGTCGTATGAAACGAAATAATTAATGATTATTAATATTTGTATTGATTCTACGTTTAAGTTTACCAGGTCAAAACGAAGGACTGATCTTTTTTTATTTATTTATTTTTTTTTACTTTCAGGCTTGGCCAATGGTTAAGAGGGCGTTCGAATTTTATCCAAATCAAGAATTCGCTGACATTAATGTTATCACAGGTAAGTCACATTAAATACCAGTTCTTACTATTGGAATTTTACTTTTGTGTTTTCTAAGGGCACGTTATCAATTCGTCGGAATATATATTTTTTTTTGTATGCATGTTACCGCATAACTTTGGACCTCGTCAATTGAAAATTCCTTTTCTATCGCAAATTGATTGAAATTACTTGATTTTTATTTTTTCGATAAAAAATAATGATTATTTTGTTATTTGTATTTTCCCAATTAAGAATAATGATTATTCGAAAAACTCAAAAGCTATGCCAGCGTGATTTCCGACGTATCCTTTTCAGAGGTAGTGACACCCTAATAAAAGGAATAAGTTCCAAAACTTTCAGGTCAAAATTTTAGTTGGTTGCGTCTGTATGACTTTTTAAATCTTATAAATAATCATTATTTTTAAGTGGAATAACAAAACCCAGTAATAATTATAAACTCTATATAAAAATTTAGGACAATATTATAAAATACGTGCAGCTCGACAACGACAAGAAGTCAAAAGCATGCCCTTCGACAGGGTTGAGTGTAACATCAAACACATTTTGCATGGAGGAAGGGCAACATTTTTGTTAATCCGTATGGAATAAAGGATAGTCTAATAGTGCAACATTCAACTTCTGTTCAAGAATATTTTGACATGTCCCATTTCTCTTTTTCTTTTCACATCATCCTTTACATAAACTCCCAGTAACAGAGATAAATATTTGAAGTTTTATAGAATGAATAAATTATGAGATTTGCCTGTACTCGAAGGACTTTTTAGAAAGCAAAGCCCATGTTTAAGTGATCCCCCAATTTAAGGCTTTAAGACTGTTTGTAAATACTTCACTTGTAGCATCAATTTTGCCAATTCGTTGATCATTTATGGATTTAGCTGTGGAGCCTATATTCTTCTGATCTTCTGCAATTTCTGTCATTTTCGAGGCTTCTTCTGGGACCTCCATAGGATTTGAAATCGAAAACCAAAATTATTGACTATGACCAAGGAATGTTCTCTTGCACTTTCGCGAAGTCCTCCTGATCCTTCTTGATCGCGGAGATAGATGGGTGGTATCGTAGCTCTAGTTGAGGCGTAGGTTGTTGCTTCTGTCTACCATTTCTTGTGTATCCATAATTGTAGCTACGATGGTAACCGAGTAAGGCTGAGTATTTTCGGAACCCGAACGGTTTTCAAAGCACTTGTATGACATTTGTATCCGGCCCTGAAAGGAGGAAGAAAAGGAGTATATTCAGGGATTTTAAGGAAGATAGATAAGAGAGGTGTCTTTTATCGAAAAAATACCTTATAAAAATTATTTATTTTTCAATCGACTTAATTAAGCTCGTTGATAGCAACCATGTTTTCACAATTTAGTCATCTCAGTACAAATTCTGGGCTAATAGGTCAACTACTCCACGTCGCACAGTGTTTCGACTATATGGAGGCAGGTGGAAATAATAGTTAACCTGCACCGATTTTGCTGAAACTTGACATGTGCTCTAATTTTACTTAGGAGTAGGAAATTATGAAATTTGGTAAATGTGGGCGGAAACATGAAATTTCATCCGATTTCGATTAAATTTAGTTTGTACTGTCCCTTTTATTAGAAAAACCTAAATGTAAAATATGGGGAAGATTGGATCACTATAACGTCTACAACTCGCATATAATATGGTCCCAATCATTAAATGTGATAGTTTTTGGTAGTTGTTGTTTTCTGCTTTCCACTCTCAGAAAAGCAAAGGATATACTTAAAAATTACATAGATGTAAATATTCTCCTTTTTCCAAATGTTTGTTGTGACTTTTCCATTGCTCGAAAAATCCTTTTCGCGAAATTACGCAAAAAGAAGCTGAAAATCGAAAAATTGGAAAAACGAAATTGCATATATTTGCAAAGTCGCGCGAAATGATCCAATTATATATTCGAAAACTAAATAAAATTCCCTAAAACATGCCTCTAATTTCAAGACCTGACGAACCGGTACTCACACTTTATTTTACTAATAATCTTTAGGATCTACATTTCAAAGTCAACTTTTTGATAAGAAAAATAGGAAAATACCAAATAAATGATAAATACCTCCACCTGAATATTCCATAACTCTTAAATAATTAATCACAGTTGAAAAAGAAACACTTCCTTTAATGGGTTTAGCGCCAAAGGCAACTAAACTGATCAGTCGGTATTGCGCCGATTCCAGTATTTTTTTGGAACCTTACCGTTCGAGGTGGAGTGAGTTATTGATCTGAAATTTTGTATTTATGACATTTACTATTCCCTCTCTAAGCCCAACTGGTTTTTTATCAACTGTCACCATAACTTTTTTCCACCTGCCTTCATATAGTCGAAACACTGTGCGTCGGTGTGGATTGTCCTCGTCCTACGTCCTACATACGTAAATTAGGCGAAAATAAGCTTTTAAGCGGGGGTGTTCATATCGAGTTACGCAAAAAAAGAACATCGGGGCAGTCTCATGTTCATGCGAAAGATATACCTGCACTTTTTACCTGCTGTAACGGAAATATTCAATAATGCCTTTACTACATACATATATTCCATGAAAGCGCGTTGATTTCATTAAATTTATGTATTTTTTCTGCATTAGCTTACGGATTAAGTCATTACTGACATTACAATAAATTCCAAATGTACATACATACATACATACAATTGTGAAATTAGGATTCCCGCGTGAAGTATTTACAAATCATTAGCGCTAAGTGATAAATAATCATTTAATACACATAGGGACCAACGAAATCCCAAATAATTTAGTGATCACACCCATTCGCATAAGTACCTTATGAAAGTGCCCTGTAAGGAAATCAACTCGTACAAAGCTGATACCGTTGTATTGACTTTAAAGTCATAATTTCCATATTAACTAATAGAAACCGGTGCGGTCAACGGTTATGAATGCTATAACAAACATCATAACAACCGTTAAAATTTGACTGCCATTTTGCTGATCAAATTTTGCTGTGGTTATAAGATTTTTTTTTTTTTATCAAGGGAAATCGTTCAGATTACATTTTTCGGTCACAGACAGTTAGTTGCGATCAATATGATTTCAAGTTTTGGTGTGTGGGCTTTTTGTTGTCTTAATATAAGCATTTGTCACATGACGCTACCACACAACATTCTCTATATGTATTTCAGTGTTAAAAGCATTTAAATCCAAAAAAAACTTGCTAAATTATTTGCTAAAACGTAATCATAAATAATCTAATAGAGAATAGCTTCTTAGTTTGATTTAATATCAAAATTGCATTGATGTTACCACCAGTACGCTTTATTCCAAATGAAAATATGGCTGCCAAACTACCAAATTGCCAGCGATAGATGTCAGGCAAAAAGCGCTGACATATATTGCAACCCATGAGAAATAAATGGTCTCTATTGGAAATATATTTAAGAGATATCACATAGGTGTTTTCCTGTGGATACAGGGCCTTAGAAAGGTGGGGGTGTCAAGCCCCCCAATTTTTGTTTTTTTTTTGTGTACCTGCCTCCAATTAAAATTTTTTTTTTAATTCTATAGATTTTTTTTATTATGCATCAATTGAGGAAAAATCCTATGTCGATTCTCCAACTTTTTGAATCGATTCACGAATCGAATCGGAACTAAAAAACCGAATCGGAAGGGCTCGATTAATCGATTTAAAAAGGGCATCTCTAGAACACAGATGACTCGCGAATCATACGCTTTTATAGTTTTATCCCAAACGTCTCACTAATATACGTATCCCAATTGTAAATAGCCTGCAAAATTTATTTTGTAATTTATTTTTGAATTATAAAACTATTTTTAACTGACTCCAAAACAGGAGAAGGTTCGTCGGGATTCGTCGGAATGTATATATATTTTTTTTTGTATATATTACCGCATAACCTAGTACCACGTTAACCGATTTCAATAATTCCTTTTTCATCGGAAAGGTGGTACCTTAAGGGTGGTCGTATACTCGTTTCGTTTAGTTTCGATAATTTATATGTTATATGAGAATTGAAGTCGGTTTGTTTTTTTTTGCTTAAAAATTTCTTGTATATATCAGTCCACTGTAAGAGGTTCTGTAAGCACTGGCATGAAAACTAGACCGGTATGGCAGTTTCTGGCATTAACTTTTACTGGAATGAGTCCATGCCAGTGCCGGTTTATATTACGCGAGTAACTGGACTGGTATACTTGTATCGTAATGTAAAGGACATTCTACCGTTTAGAAATTATTGAAAAAAAAAATATCTTTGGTCGAAAGCATAAAATTCCCAAAATAACGATAAAACTTGGTAGAAAAAATTCAAATCCAAGTTTAAAGTATATTGCTGACTGAAAAAAATAAAAATTAAGAAATAACGATTTTTCAATTATCAAAAAAATAAAAATCGTATGGCCCTATTCATAAAAAATAAAATAGGTTCAAAGAGCCTTATAAATTGACGTTTTCATACATTTTTAAAATTATAAGCCTTTTGTAAAGCTACTAGGCTATTATTGTTTAACGTCTTGATGTGTCTTGATGTGGTCACACGAAGCAGAGTTTTGCCTGCCAAAGGGCGACCGCTATTTTTATTTTCTTTTGTTTTTGAGGTTAGTCGGAAACTGTGCTCGATCCCAGGCCTAGCGGAATGTAGTGCGCACTTCTAGTCACCACACCGCAGCGGACATCAAAAAATTAGTTAACTGTAATCGAAGAAATCTTCGCAGCATACCCGAACCTCCAAGTTCATTTCATTAGTTTATGTTTTTCCATTAGGGTATATTTGCATAGACATAATAAAAATACCCCGCAAAAAGTGCGACTAATCCCAGATACCTCCAGGAGCAATCGTAAAGGAACATGCGACTTATACCACGTTTGATTTCTTTATATGGAATGAGCTGTTCGCTTTTGTTCGAACATATCCTATGAAGAGACTGATTGCTCCCGTTTATACCCGAGCGGGTATAAAAAGCGACTAGTCACTTTTAAAAAATAAAAATAAAAATCTGTGCCAGCTGCGTTTCGAACCAGGCTTCTCAGGTTTGTTAAGCGAATACTCTCCCTATGTGCCAACGCCGCACCTAACATTTCATTGACTAAGTGCGTACATATCACTAAATCGTTAATTGTACCCGTTAGAGATGGGTCGAGACTAGTTGCGCCTAATTGATGCTCAATTGTACCCAATCGAGACTAATCTTGGAATACTCTCTTCAGAGATTAGTCGCACAATTTTTCGCAGGGTATACGAGTATATAAAGCTAAATACGTAAGTAAATTATTTGGATATTAACTCTCTTTATCAACACCTGCGCCAGTCAGACCGGCACTACTATTGCAGAATTCTAACAAATGACTCACCAATAAATACATACATACATATTTAATATTAAATTCATATGTATGTACATAGACCAATGGGGGTATGGGCTTTCCGAGCCAAAAGACGGTGAAGAAATGAGATATGGTTACGTGTTGCGGCGGACCACAATGAACAGCTGTTGGCAAGCAGGACATTTCCAATTACATATGTACATACATATGTATAGGCGTATGAAATCACAATGTGCGAAACGCATGAAAGTTTTACACACATTTAATTGCCCATAAACCAATAAAGCAACCGCATGTGGAAACTAATGCACACTTTAGTACATACATATACTGTAAATGTGACTGGGTGTGCGTAGAAATTGAGATTGAAAGCCAAAGATCGTTACCAAAAGTGCAATAAAATAAGTAGCAATAAGTCGGCAATGAAATACTTTTCAATTGAGAAGTCAGCAATACATACATACATACATATAAACCCTGTAAGTGCCCTTACAAATCGATAGAACTTTGGCGTGATAAATAATTCTATACTAGCAGGGCTTGGGATATTTTAATTCTTTTCAAACTACGAACTACGAGTATAAACTTAATTAGATTCAGGTTTAGTTGAAACGAAGTGTCCGAGGGTGTTTACATTCTGTGCCAGTCTCTTATAAAATTACCTTAAAAATCGTGGCATTATTGGCATATTAGTAGCTTTTAGGGATCCGTAGTAGCGAGGGCTCCTCTGTAAGAAAGTGTTTGTTCGGATGCGCGAACAAACACTTTCTTACAGAGGAGCCCTCGCCAAGGCACTTCAGAAGGCATCTTTACGAACTGACGGACGAAATCCAGAGGTTCATAAAGTAACCTCTGAATCCGACAGCATATCGACAGGCCTTGAGCGGCATTCGCACGGAGTCAGTCTCAAGTTATGTAGACTCCCGACCTGTGAATGACGTTCTGGGCACACAACCACCTGACGCGGACGAGAGAGAGCTTCATCTGCCGCGGGAGACTGGGGCCACAATAGCCCAACTTCGGCTACTGTAGCAAGTTAAACTTGTACCTGAGAAGATTCGATGGAGATGTGCATAACCAATGCCCGGCATGCGGAGAGAAACCCCACGACTCGAAACATTTCTTCGCATGCCCACTATATCCTACTTAACTGACGCCTCTGTCCCTATGGACTGACCCCATGGAAGCTGCATGCTTCTTGGGTCTTCCGGGGAAAACCGCCTTCGACAGCATGAAAAGAAACTGCCTATACGTCGCATTGCCCGATTTAGTATTCGTGTGAAACTATATATTGGAGCTGTGTAAATGGCAAACTTTGGACTGAATAGGTAACTGAGAACTAAAAGTGCAAAAGCCGCAGTTTTGGCTATTTTTTAAGGATATATAGTAGCACGTTTTGGTTTTAAGAAAACGTATATATGTATAAATACATACATACGTATATACGTATTTATATAAACGTACGTATGTATAGTATGTACATACATATATACGTATATACATATGTATATTGCGTCCGTTTTTACTACATCTCGTTGAGTTGTGGCTTTCTTTTAGTAAATTAGCGTTATTTTTGTATCTTATTCTTTCAAATGCCGTTGAGTTCGATAAATTGGGGACAAATTCGGCTATTGCTTATAGCATTTCTTAAGGATAAGCCATTCAGTACTAATGATCGGCTGGTATGGATCTATTTTTAAAAACGACTAAACTTTTTCTGAAAATTTTAATTTGTTGCTTAGGATCCCACGTGAAATGTGGGAAAAATTACAGGTTATGGGTGAGAAGTTTTCCTAGAATTATTAAATTACTAAGAGGGTACAAAGCTTGAACATTTAGCTCAGTTTCCATATACAATTTATATAATTTTATTGTGTCGATTAACTTAAAGTTTATAGATATAAACAGTACAGCCCCACCAATTTAATTTTTCGTTTTATTGTTCCAATTTGCCCTTCACTGCACATACATACTATCTGCTCATATATTTGCATAATTTTCAAAACATTTCATCCTTCTATTTGAATGCAGATTGCATGCACGTTGCATCCGAACCCGGCGACTATGTATTCAAAAAAGTACCATATATGCTGCCCAATACGAAGGAGGCGCCGCTCATGGAAGCAGCTATAGAAGGCCCGACGTCGGAGGTGTGCGGCCTCTACGTGATTGGTGAGCCCGACACCATTGTCGAAATAACAATGAAACACTACGATGTCAATTGTGCGACCGGCGGTCTAATGGCTGTAAGTTATAAACTTAATTCACAACAAACCCACACCAAACGAAAACAAAACAAAACCAAGATGGCAAAAACCAGAACAATGCCACAAAGTTGCATAATGAAGTGGATGAGAGTCGTCCCCTTTGAATTGAATTTTCACCAACACTTAATGCAATTTTCAACTTTCTTTTGTTTGGCATCTGCTCCGCTTCTCTTCGTTTCACTTTTATAGTTTGTTGATGGCTGGGAGTTGAATGGCGAATATTTTCCAGGCATTAANCCCAAACGAAACGAAACAAAACAAAACAAAAACAAAACAAAAACAAGATGGCAAAAACCAGAACAATGCCACAAAGTTGCATAATGAAGTGGATGAGAGTCGTCCCCTTTGAATTGAGTTTTCACCAACACTTAATGCAATTTTCAACTTTCTTTTGTTTGGCATCTGCTCCGCTCCTCTTCATTTCACTTTTGTAGTTTGTTGATGGCTGGGAGTTGAATGGCGAATATTTTCCAGGCATTAAGGATCATCATCGCGGGCTGGAAGAGCGTGTCGTTGAGTTTTGCAACAATTTCAAGCAGTGGTACGTGAATGGGCATTTAGGGCTTGCCCACACTCTGGCTACCAACAATTGTACTCATTTGTATTACATAAATTATTATCACTTTTTTGTTTTTTTTTGCTCGCAGGCCACGTGTTGCGAATAAGAAATTCTTCCGTTCAAGTCAAAATGCTGCGCTGCTGCAGTATCGTATTCCCTTACGAGGCTCTTTCATCGCCCACGTCCGCTTTCACAAAATTACGAAACGTAAGTGTAATCTATCTGAAGTTAGCATTGCTTTATTCGAATGATAAAAAAAAAATAAAACAAATTAATTTCGCATTTGTCTTCCTTATTGCCGGAGNTAATGAAAAAAATAAAAAAAATAAAACAAATTAATTTCGCATTTGTCTTCCTTATTGCCGGAGGCAGCTTGCAACGTGCTGGTGCAGGATACGACCGCCATCTTCAATATGGCTAACTCTGGCTATCAACGCAATTGCACCATATCAGCACTCTTCCCAGCCACAGTGGCTGTGGCCAATCTGAAAATCGGCGGCAAGAATGTGCGTGGCGAAAAGGTTAATTACGATGTAAGCAAATGAACCAACACCATGGTGAAGGTGAAAAGTTCCCTAAACGTGACTTATGTACATAGGTATATACTACTTTTAGTGCGGCATGTATGATGATCGCTTGGAAATCGGCGGGTCGTCTGGACTGGATGCAATCGCAATGGAGAAGGCGGCCGACGTTTGCGGCTACTCAGATCAGCAGGGTGATTATTAGTGCAACTTGCTTAAGAAATTTTTAAGAAATATAACCGTTAATTTCATGATAAAATCGTTTTTATTTCAGGACCAGAACAGGCCATTTTCTGCGGCGTGACTACGGTGCGTCTAATCTCCACTGGACGATATCAAAATCACGCTACTGTAATTATACGCAAGGCCGACGAAAACGATCTGGACATAGCCACGCTTGTATGTGCTCTGTAAATTTGTTAACTAATCCAACTCGATCGAAGAAAACAAAAAAATTAAGTGAAATCAAGCAAGAAATAGGTATTGGGGCATAGGTTGGCTGCTTTGNACTGTGGCCAATCTGAAAATCGGCGGCAAGAATGTGCGTGGGGAAAAGGTTAATTACGATGTAAGCAAATGAAACAACACCATGGTGAAGGTGAAAAGTTCCCTAAACGTGACTTATGTACATATGTATATACTACTTTTAGTGCGGCATGTATGATGATCGCTTGGAAATCGGCGGGTCGCCTGGACTGGATGCAATCGCAATGGAGAAGGCGGCCGACGTTTGCGGCTACTCTGATCAGCAGGGTGATTATTAGTGCAACTTGCTTAAGAAATTTTTAAGAAATAGCACCGTTAATTTCATGATAAAATCGTTTTTATTTCAGGACCAGAACAGGCCATTTTCTGCGGCGTGACTACGGTGCGTCTGATCTCCACTGGGCGATATCAAAATCACGCTACTGTAATTATACGCAAGGCCGACGAAAACGATCTGGACATAGCCACGCTTGTATGTGCTCTGTAAATTTGTAAACTAATCCAACTCGATCGAAGAAAACAAAAAAGTGAAGTGAAATCAAGCAAGAAATAGGTATTGGGGCATAGGTTGGCTGCTTTGTCATTGATTTCATTTTTGGCAGTATTCTCAGCTAAGAAAAACACTTCAAGCAAGCTTTCTTCTACTCCCTTTTTTAGTGTTATTTAATAAATCTGCACGGATTTCTTTGTTACAATTATTGTATATATATATTTGAAACCCCTTATCTCTACATGTACGTATGTAGTATGTACATAATTTATTTAAATGCAAAAAATTCTCCGGGACGGTATGTACTTGTATATGGACTGCGCTCCCATTGACCGTTTAATGTTTAAAAATATACGTATTAGTTACATATAGAAATAGAGATTACTTACATATACATACATATGTACATACATTTGTATGAATTTTAATGTACATTGCAACTGCAGTAAAAATTATTCATAGTGAGCTTAAAAAAAAATAGAAAAAATACATACATACATAGCTGTCACAGTTTATTCGATGATTTATTTATGAACGCTTATGACACAAAAATAANCATTTTAATGTACATTGCAACTGCAGTAAAAATTAATCATAGTGAGCTTAAAAAAAAAATAGAAAAAATACATACATACATAGCTATCACAGTTTATTCGATGATTTATTTATGAACGCTTATGACACAAAAATAAAGCGTAAGTACTGAAAGCCCATTTTGGTTGAGAAACTTGCAGCAATTTTTTAGGTAGTATTCGGCCATAATTTAGGCGGGGGATGTGACTTGAACGTTGACGAAAGAATGACAGTTTATAATAATTTTGTTCGCTTTACCAGAGATTCCTAATATAGGTTCCGTAGAAAACTCACCAGGATTCCGTGAAATTATTAATTTTTAGCTGTTAAATTTTACAGTTTTGCTACAAGAAAAACAAAANGAAAGAATGACAGTTTATAATAATTTTGTTCGCTTTACCAGAGATTCCTAATATAGGTTCCGTAGAAAACTCACCAGGATTCCGTGAAATGATTAATTTTTAGCTGTTAAATTTTACAGTTTTGCTACAAGAAAAACAAAACCAGAGTACTTTTCTTTCCATTAGCTACATTTTTCTTTTATTCTTATTTTAATTTGGCCAGCCAATTAACAATAAATCCAAACTGGTGTATTAAAAATGATAAAGTATGACTTCCAACTGCAATAAATATATATATTTAAAAAACACGTGCAAACACCGATTGGAATGAGTGCAACGTAAGTTTTAAAGTAGTTTTCAGCGAAAGCATGTTTTCGATGTCGGTCAGAACATGGTATAAGACAAATCAGGGCTGGTTCGTTAGCCATCGCTTAAAATTCGGTATGAATAAGCACGGCGCACACTGTGCCCTTTTCAATTTTAGCGTAGTGCCAAAAGTCGAGTCAATGAAACGGATCCACCAATATAATTTTTTAGACCATAAATGGGCGTGTCCTGCTCAAATTTGACTCCTATAAAAAGAATACTGCCAGCCGAGCATCATTCTTATATTTAAATTATTAACTTATTAGTATTTACTACTAGAACTCATACTTTCCCGGGGCATAGTATTCCGCCAGCTCTTCTTTGAATTGAAACGCTGAAAAATTTCAGGCAAATGTACCTATTCCAATGCTATTTCATTTCAGAAAGAATGTAAGTTATAGTATACAGTATTTCTCGGATATATGCACCGTCGAAAATAAACGATATTCTTTGCTTATAAGCGGAAAGTGCTTGTGTGAAAATGCCGCTTATCATCCTTGACTGTGCTTATATTGAAATCCTCGGTTGTATTACCGGTCTATGTAACAACTACTGTTAAATAATAAATTTTCAATTTAAAATAGGAGCAAACATAAATAAATGTGCAACAAAATCCAAAACCAGTGCAAGTGGAACATAAAGGAATTTCAAAATTAACAAGCAAAAAAGTCTTAAGTTCGGGCGGAGCCGAACATTAAATACCCGGCGCAAAACTACCGCCATGTGGTAAACAAGGATGGTTTTAGGTCTGTTTCAAACATCTTACAATGAGATAAACTTAGATAGACANCCATCCCCTTCGGAACTTTCCGTTGTGGTAATCGGACTCCCGGGTGTGGTAACCGGACTCTCGGTTGTGGTAACCGGACTCTCGGTTGTGATAACCGGACTTCCGCTTGTTGTGTTTTCGGTGTCCAACTGCCAATGAGAATAAAATTCAAAGAATAGATAACAATTATTGTTTTCCTTAAATCCTTGAAAATCCTAAAAAAATTGCAACGTGTAGCACTGAAAACCTAGTATAGGTCGTAGCTCTGATCGAATAATTCATGAAAATATGTTTAAAATTTTCTTAGTGCCCTCAACTAATTCATAAAAACTAATTCAATTTTACTGACTACATGAAAAAAAATGTCTTATAAAATTTTTAACAAAATGACGTAGAAATGACAAAAATACAAAAAAAAATTGTCGTTAGTTTTAGACTACTTTCTAGACCCATATTCAAATTTAAAATTGCTGATCAAATATCTAAGTGGTTAGCTCCAAATGTTATTTTATGAAGTCGTAAGTTGAGAATTTGAGGCCTTTGGAAAATTTCTAAGTATGTCTCGACCAGATATATTAACTGTACTCGGCCACTGAAAAAGCGCGTACAATATTCTTGAATTCGTTACGCTAGGGATGTCAGTGGCAAAAATGCATCGATGTTTTTCTTTGATTCGATGCATCGAAATGTACATCGATATTTTTCATTGCATCGATTTGCATAGGAATTTTAATTTGAAATAAATTACTGCAAGTGAGCGAACGAGCTAACGAAACTTTTTGGAGCCATTAAATTTTTTGGTCAAGTCACTACTAGAGATGTCAGTTTTCAAAAAACATTGAAATTTTCGATGTATCGATGTTTTTCCGACATCCCTACGTTACGCACAAGTTGGCTGTATCGGAAAAGTAGATGAACAAAACCCCAAAATTTGAAGTGGTGAAACCGGTTCCATCATTGTATGCAAGTATTCTGGAACGTCTAATGGGCAGATCTCTCCACTCTAGAAACGAAGCAAAGTTTGTTAGATGGCCCCTTCACTTGTGAATACCGCGCTTCCTCGTTTACCCGCCTGACCATGCAATGTCAGTCTTTACTTCAGAAGTGGTTACCATGCAAGATTTTGGGCATATTACAATATTTTTTATTTATTTTTTTTTTAATTAAAAGTGAGAATTGTGTGTGTGTTATTTTGACAAGGATGATTTTTAATTCTCAACAATTTAAGAAAGTTAAAAACTGTACAAAATATGAAATCCGAAGTCATCTAAAAAGCCGACTATGACCGAACATATTAATTAAGTTCATAAAAAGTTGCATTAGACACTCTTCACTACTTTGTCAGATAAATGAGTTTAGGCGAGTTCCTAAATTTCAAAAGTAAAGGGCAAACAGATGCAAAAGTACAAGGTCAATTTCTTTTATTTAGATTTCTGATCTATTCCGCTATATGCCATTTTTGATTTTTGAAAAACAAATTTACATTCGAAATCAGCTACCACAAAAAATCTTGGATACCAAGTTGTTTAAAATACATAAATTTTTGATAACTCGACCACCATAGTGGATCCGCAATTTTGAATTTATGAAAACAGACTTCAGATTCGTAATCAGCGACCTCAAAACCCCCCAGGTACTATCTTTCTTTAAAAAAAACAATATAGACTACTTTTGTATGCCTAGTTTTGCAATTCAGCCCACTATGCGCCGTGCAATTAACTTACGGCAACTTTAAGTTTCTCCTGCAGCTGCTCACAGCGCGTCTTCTGATTGTTTACAGTTGTTGCTAATCGGCAGATCGTACTTAACAGGCAATCCCGGTCGCATCCCCAATTCAATTGTGGATCGGCAGTTTTCATTTTGTATTGCCAAAACTAGATTAGAAATCGAAGGCATTTTTTCGAAAGTTAAAATAAGACGAATATCACATCAATTTACTTTTCTGAGCATGCTTGGGTTTTCTGCCATTTCCTCCAGTAGCTTGTCGATTCCAGCTGGGCTCAAGTCTTCAGTAAACTCCTTAGAGAATTCATATTCATTGAACCAACGCGGGGTTTGAGATTCACCATGAGCGTTTGCTTCCGTCAAGTTGAAGATCCATGTTTCATGATCCACAACTTGCTAGATTTGTTACAGATAAAATAGTTATGATATGGGACTAAAGAAGACTTTAGGTTTCAGTTAGTTTCCAATTTACCATGCTTGCGGGTTCCACTTCGTATAGTCGATAGTTCGGATTCTTATTCGAGTACGTAGTTAATGAGCCGCCATTCCATACCACCCCAATCGCATGTCCATTAGCCGAGTAATGCAAATGCATTTCGTCCAAATGCGAATGGCCATTGAATATGCCGCTAATTGTGCCCCGGAAACGAACCACTAATCTGTTAAACTCTCGCGCCCACACCGACCAGCAGGAGGCATCTCCTGTCGGAATGTGCGCCAGAATGTGAACAAATTCGCCAGCCTTTTCAGCGGCCAACAGAGTTTCATGAAGCCACTGCAGTTGTGGAATCTTGTCCGTGCCATCGTAGTACAACCACCAGTTGCTGGTGTAGCAATCGTTGTTGTTCAAAGCAATCACACGAAAGCCGGCTTTTGGCGAAACTGTGTAATACCCGCCCTTAAGAATTGTATCCTTAGTTTCGGCCGGCAGCCAGGTGGACCATTGTTCATACAACTCTTCATACAACCAATGGGTGTTGATCGCATCTGGCACATCATTTGGGCTGAAACTTTATGAAAAGAGCAATAAAACTGCTTCCATGAACACTTGGGAAGTTTTTTATTAAACTTACACATTGAAAGGATGTGGTTCATGATTACCAATGCAAGGATACACCGGTATGCCTGGGAATAGTTCAGCCAAACGATCATTTACCCTCTTTAATGCATCGGCGTTCTTTTCTGTGGATGTTCCCCAGACCATGTGATCTACGATATCTCCGGTTTGATAGATATAATCGATGCTGCTGTGCGTTTTCTTAATGTGGTTAAAGGCGTCGTCAATCGTTTGCCAAGGCGCATCGCAATCGCGGTAGTCACCCCAGTATCCGGCGGCCTTATCACTCTCGGTAGAACCAGCGCCTTGCTGACAGCACATCGGCTCAACACATTCAGCCAAGGCCCCTGGTGCATATAAAGGATCATAGTGGATATCCGTTAAGTGCAAAATTTTCAACTCATTTCCATTTTTATTGGGTAAATCTGATTTTGGCGCACTCACTTCTGTATCACCACCATCAATTGCGAGAGTCCAATTGTAGTCAGCATTTCTCACGTTGCAGAAATTGTATTGCATGAAAAGCGAACATAATGTACGGGAATCGATCTTCGAGTTCTTGACGATATAAACAAAAGTCGGTAAATTGAAATCGATCAACTGGGAACACACTTCTGTAGTTTGTAGTTCGAGTCGGATGCAGATGTCCAAGGCTATACTCTTTAGCTGTGCTTCGGTATCGTCTCCTGCGAATTCGCCATCATCGTCGCGGAACATTCGCGCCATAACATTGACCGTGGAACGGCATGTGGTGCAAGCCACAAATTGATCGGATAAGGATAGATCGCCCAACTCTTTGGTGAAGAGGTCCTTTTTGCTATGAGCCTTCGCTAACTGAGCGGAGATCTGTCGCAGGGCAGCGGACTCAATACCACTCTTGAGATAGTTGATGTATTCTTGCGAGAACTTCTGAGCAATTTCCTCTAAAATATTAGATGAAAAAATTACAATTTTCTTGAAAAACAACAAGAGGAGTTATTCGGTAAATTAATTTATGTTAATAAATTTAAGTAAGTACGAGTACATAGATCAATTTTCCAAGCCATGAAAAATAAAACATAGAGCCCCGCAGCTTGCTTTCCTTTCTCACGCATGCAACCGCAATCGTCAATTAAGTCAGTTACAGCCAGTTTCACCAAATTATTTAAGTGAAAATTTTCGAATTTTCGGTTGCTATCCAGTTCTAGGAGGACGTAGTGGGCGAAGCTTCAGACTTGTCAGAATTCGCACTTAGCGACATTTACGTAACGAGGCCCACATGCGCCCATTCAAGATGCGTAACATCACTCAGAGTAAGCAGTTTCTGTAGCGATATTTTCGCATGGACCATCCTTGCAAGCTCTTTTTAGAAGCCACGTCAGAAGCCATAGATCTCAAAGGGCAGTCATACGTAGATACCTCATCCAATGATCCAAATGAGCTAAAACCAAGCTTAAATGGCGTTCATTGAGAGCCAATCAACACTTCTCACCTGAAGTCCAATGTACTAGACTTGTGTAGTTCTTGAACTAAATAAACTAAATGAACTAGTTCATCTCAATGAATATTCCTTGCAGATACGCTTTAAAATGCTTTTGCATTGTTGCTACTTCAGTTCCTTGCGAACGATTTTTTTCGGGGGCAGAGAAAACTATTAAACTATCTTAGAACGCTTTGAAAATCAAAAGAGCTTTCGAATTTAATGTTTTTGCACAGCAATATGTACATAAGTGTTTACATATCATACATATGTTTATATTTCTTGAATTTGTTAAAGTTTTTGTTTGATGCGGGAACTTGTTTAACCGACTTCAAAAAAGGAGCAGGTTATCAATTCGTCGAAATATTTATATTTTTTTATGCATGTTTCTATAATTCTTTTTATAAAGGAAATGTGTTACCTCAAACGTGGTTCCCTATGGGAATTGAAGTCGGTTTTGTTTTTTGTTTAAAAATTACTTGTACTACGAACGTGTTTGATGTATGTAAATTCAAATTACCGAAGTTTTTATTTTGTATGTAATATTTATAATAGTAATATTTATTTATTTATTTATTTATTTATTTTTAATATGAGTGGAAGGTCGACCTATCTCAGAAAACCTTTCAAGAACGCCCTATTTCAGAACTTGGTTTAAAAGCACCCTATCTCAACTGAAAATATATTGAAAATGTGTTGGCTGCCGAAATAGGTCGATCTCCCACAAAGGTGTCGATATGTATGTAAATGTATTCGTTAATTGAACTATATGAAATAAAGAACTAGTTCACTGAGGTGAAGGAACTACAACTGAACGGTTCACTGAAAAGAACTAAAGTGGAGGAACTTAACGCCGATGGATTTTCACGTGTAGGGTCAAATGAAACGCCACGTACATATATAATGAGATGACTCCGATCGATTATTTTTAATGTACTGAAACAAACGAAAATTCACTAGGCATCCTCTACGAACAATCGCCGTGAAAAATTACTTAAGGAAAATAATGAGAATTGGTATCAGGAATAGGGACGGTCATACCGAGAACGAGTTGTAAAGAATAAACAAGTTTTAATTGTTGAGTTTTTGGTTTAGTCACGTATTTTTTTTAGTTTTTTCCTTATGAAATTGTACCCTCGCGGGGGCCAATTCTGGTTCTATGTGGTTCTATGAAACTGTGAAGTGAACATGAAAAATTCATTCTCAGTGAAAATTTAATTTTTTCATTTTATCGTTTCGTTATATCATTTTAAGCGAATCTCGACCATTAAAAGCTATTCCATTAACATCTAGCAAGCAAATTATGGTGAGTTTAAGGCAATGATATTCTTTATCACAAGATGATGGCTTAGAGAAAAATTCCCAACTTTTCTTTTTCACAGCCAAAAAAACTTTGTGGAAAAAAGTTTTCACAGTGAAAAATTGTAGACAAATTCATTTATTTACACTTAAAAACAGAATCGCAATTTTGTGTGTAGTGATGAAAAATGTTTTCACTTCACGTATTCAGAGAACAGGGCCCCAGTATTGAGCCCGCAATCTACTTTTTCGGATAGCTAAAAAGACGTGTGTACTAGTTTTAAAAATAATTTGGAAAATAGTTTATATACAAACAATTTTTTAATGATGTGATGTAGGAAACACAAAACTTTGCCAAACAGCCATTTTTAACTGTCAGTGCTTGGTTCAAGTTTTATTGATCACTTTTATTAACTAACATACCCTTTAACTAAAAAACATAAAAAATCGGACCTTGAACTGATTTAAACAAAAGTGGATGTACAAGCAAAAAACGATATTTTTTAAATATCCCTTAATATCGAATATCTCGAAAATGGTTAAATTTTGGACATCATGTCGTATAACCACATCAAATCGAAATTGCCAAAATAATAAAGTCGTTATATATATAGGACGACTTTTTCAGTAACTCTGCGTATATTTTTTTTTAGTTTTTACACGTCTGGGGTAGAAAACCATCCCGCCACACCCACGGAAGGTTAAGTAAACAAGAAGAACAACAATTTAACCAAGTTTCATCTAACAAATTTTTTAATGAAAATTTCTAGAAAAAAATTTTATGTTTATTTTTGGCAATTTTTTTACGGGTTTGAATTTTATTTGCTGGCGGTGATATGCATTTTCTTCCATATAAAAAAGCATTTCAAGCAAGTTTTATATGCACGAAATTATAACTCTCAAAGATGCCATTAAACTCAAAAATATTTACAGTTTTACCATAGGGTTGCATTTTTAGATAAAGTTGTGTATTACAAATTTTGAAAAATGCTTTAGCGTATTTTGAACCGAACCGAACCATTTTTTGGAGTGGATTCTCGGTTCGGTTTTTGTATTTCAAAATAAAAATGGTTTGGTTCGTGGTTCGATTCGATGGCCGAAAAACAGCGACGGTTCAATTCAAAAACCGCTCCGGATCAAAACCGGCTTGCAGCCCTATAACCAACACAATGCTGGTGTCCCCGAATGAGGCTTAGACGCAATATATTATTGGCTAATCGCATTCCTATGGGGCCAATCGTAACACACATCAGCTAGGTTTAGTCAATGGTTCAGTCATATTGAAAATATGAGCAATTTAATTGGACATTAATGGAACTTCTCACTTGACGATGTAGGTCGCGTTCCGGTCTCAGTGTTTCAGTAGCTGCGTGTCCCTTTCATTCTTCCTGAGTTCGTCATGCACGAATCGACAACCGCGATTGTTATGTCTAATTATTTATTAATTATTTATTAAAAAAAAATAGTAAACAAAAGTAAAAGGAAAAAGTATTTTTCATTAAAAATTTGCGCTAACTGAAAATTTATGATAGGGTGCTGAAACTTTGCTACAACTATTTTTTTGTGACCGACAACGAAATTTTCATATGCGAACGAAAGAAAAGATGACTATTTTATTCAACTTACGCGTACTTATAGGAAAAGGTATCCTAATTTGCACCGAGGCACAAAAAGAAGTAGCCCTCAAAATTTAAAATGTATCCATTTATATGAACACGGCAACACTATTTTCAGTAGCTGTAGTGAGCTCACGATTGTTCAAATTGTAACGAAGTCTCCAGCGGCGACTGGTTGTTATTGAGACACCGTAGAAATAAAATCGCCTTTTCCAATGCAATCAGCAATCAGTTCGAATTCACGTGATAAGTATGTCTGCTGATATTTTACT